GGTTGTGACAACCGTACTGATGAGTATACCATAACAGATGAATGCCATGTAACATCAATATAACTTAAATTCACATGCATTTCTTTTCCAAACATAGAGAATATTGTTGTAACATCCACAGCAATTTTTTCCGTGTGGCGATACAAACGTCATTTGATTAATGAATTAAATGCTTGTTCCGTCTTTCGTACGGTGCCATCTTCTTTTTTCCTTTGTCTTTAAATTTATTATATAATTATATTTATATTTATTTCTACGATCTTTAAGCATCTGTTGGGTTTAAAGATCCCGTTTTTATGAATTTTGTACCCTTATATGCAGAAAATACATATGTGTATTAATTCTAGCTGTTAAGTGTGCTTATATGCTATAATTTAAATATAAATTATTGAACAAAATTCAATATCGTTATTTATATGATAAAATCACTAAGAATTAGTATCATGAGAATTATATAATGCTTGAGAAATAATGTAAATTTGATTTTCTGTTTTACTTCCTTTACTCGCTTATTTAATATTACTCAAAGGTAAACTATATCATTCATATGCATATACTTATACGTGGGAAATCTAGATTAAATTAATTAAATTTTGTGTCAATACGATCATATTCGTTTTATGTAAGTATTTTTCTGTTACATCGTCTTGAAATGTTAATAAAATGAATCAACTATTGTAAATTATGAATCGTACGTGCTCATAGTTTTTAAATTATTATTTTTATTTTTTGTATACTATCATTGAAATAGTTAGAGCATTTTTTTTTTTACAAAATAACGCTAACGCGAGATTTAATACAAACGTATAATTTATTTATTGCTACTGATGTAAATTTCTGTTTAAATAGAAATTTGTTTTTTATTCTGTAAAATATTCGAATGTTATTTTTATTCTTTATTTGTTGTTCTTAAAATTTGTCACTGGTTTTAACGTAATGACTTTAGACAATCTTGGATTATGATCGAGGATAAATAAATCATAGAATAGGAAGAATAATGACAAACTAAGAAAAAACTTCATTAATCAATCATGAAATAAAAAAAAATAAATATACATAATGAATGTACATAAAGATACATAAGATGTACAAGAAGATAAATTCTAAATTACTATACTTTTAAAGAAATAGCCCTCTCTTCCGACTTGTGTAGTCATCATATATTGTAATTCTTTTCCTTCTTTATTTCAAATTGCTTGATCAAGCAATCAGGCGTAGAAGACAACTACACAAAAACACAACGTACAATGATATTTGCATACTACGCATGTGGTATAAAAACTAAAATAAGCATTGAACGTATGTTTTAAAGAAGGATTTAATCTCCGCATTACACATGAGCTCGATCAGTTTGCGATACTCTTGGCGATTCATTTACGTCGTACATTAGTTAACATTGTTCTGGTGTGATTTCGCAGGAAAATCTTTGTTCGAAAAATGTTTACCGTACTTTTTGCTTTTATGCTTGCAACGGCATATGCTGCAGAGAAACTACGTGAGTAAATAATAGTATTTTCGACACATTTACTTCTACGGTGTATGTACGTACGTAATATTAATTTTCTATCAAATAGCGAAAGAACCACATTTGCTTGAAATTGCGTTTTTTGATAATTTTGAACAGTTCTTATCACAGTTTTTAGACATTTTAATAATTGCCTAAGGAATATTCAGGAATAGTATAAATAACACTATATGTAAACAATTTTCTTTGTTAAAGAAAAAGTTAAGTAGACAAATTTAGTATTGCACTAAACACAAATAAGAATATAAGCTGGATTTATTTATTTTTTTCTCATGCAAGTATTCCATTATTACACATTTTACATTTTGTCGAGAATGTGAAATTCTTAAATACGAAATCAGCTTTGAAATCTGTTTATAAGCTGTGATGATGAACATACATGATAATAGATTAAAAATTTTAATTTTATTTTAATTTATGATAATATTTTGTGGTAGTCTATATAGTATTTATAAATCATGTCAAAATAGAACTAGTTAAGCAATAGGAATCAGTATTAGCTGTAGAAATGAATAGACAGTCAGTATTTGCATATGTATTACGGCAAACTCCGTTTGCTAATATTTAATTTTAATTATTTAATTAATTTGAATTTTTTAATTATTGTAATTTAGTAGGAGATATTCATGGTTATATTATACTAACCAGTAAGTTTCCATTTGGGTTGCTTTCGATTTGGCTCATGTAGCGTTTTTTATTTAGTATTTGCAATGTAGAAACACAAAAAAAAAAAGGAATTATGTGCTATGTATCTTATTTTAAATCTTATTTTTTATTGAATATAAAGTGTTTCATAGAAATTTTATAAAATAAGTAACCAAATAAAATAAGTAAAACAGATATTTTATTATTTCTTTAATGAAATTTTATTTTATTTTCAATTTGTACATCAATTTTCTATTTTCCACAAGGTGAGACAAGGTCATTATGACAACTACAAGACACAAATTCTAACATCTTTTTTCTTGCAGTCGTCACAATGAGTTCGGAAAACAGAAAAATTATGTATCAATTGAAAATAGAATAAAATTTAATTGAAAAAATAATAAAATATGTTTTACTTATTTTATTTGATATAAAGTTTCTATGAAACACTTTATATTCAATAAAAGATGAGATTTTTTTGTTACATTATTGTACTAGATTTTTTCACCTAAATAAATAATAATATATTAAATTATCAATAGGTAATACCTACGTAATAGTTGATACGTTGCTATAAGGAATTCTGACGGACGTAAAAATTCAGAAAAAGATGATGTTTACTCAATTTATGGTTTAATTTATAAAGATGGCTCAATTTATAAAGATTTACTGATTTTCTAAAAAAATACTAAAAAATACTACAAAAATACAATCCATCATAACTTTGGTTAACATAGCACATAATTCCTTTTTTTGTGTTTCTACATTGCAAATGCTAAATAAAAAACGCTACATAAGCCAAATCGAAGGCGGCCCAAAGAGAAGTTACTGGTAAGCATATTTTATTATGAAATTACAATTTTTATTTTTCTCATTGATAAATTAGTTAGAAGTGTATGCTCTTATATAACAGATATAGACTATTATTAGAAATATAGGAGTGGCTTTCGTAATAACTGTAGTTATTTTTCTCAGTAGAGGAAAATTGTGTGGAATGCAACTTTGTTTAATTATCTTACTAACAGACAATTAATATGTAAAAGAAATTATTAATAAATATTTGAAACAATTTAAATACTTACATACGCAATTTAAGTCTTATGTATAAACTTAACGGCAAAGAAATATTAACAATTGTTCGACATATTGAAAATATATAACCAAATTTATACATCTTAATAGTAACTTCCTTAAATATTAAAAGTTTATTAGTTTATCATAAATATTGAGGACAAGTTACACTTGTGCAATTGTTAAATATTAATTGCATTACATAAAATACTTTCTTTCTATCTATTAAATAATAATCGGTGCATTTCAATGCATTTTAACTTAATTAAATATAAAGACGTCTCTTAATATAAATGTATTATATATTGTATTTTTAATAGCTTCCTACATTCATGTGTGTGGCCTCAAAAACTCCAACTATGATGAATGCATTCTGAATAGCATCAAGATAGCAAAGAGCAAAGTCTGTACAGGGATGCCGGAATTTAATCTTTCTCCAACCGAGCCAGTAATCATTGACGAAATCGAAATTTTCAATACAAATAGTCTTAAATTTCATCTTAGAGATTCAAAAATAAGAGGATATTGCGACATCGACGTAAAGTCTGCTAACACGTCCGCTGATAGACTTCACCTCGATTTTGATTTCGTACTCAGACATCTTGAAATGGACTCCAAGTATGACTTTGACATACGTTTATTGGTGTCACTTGCTAATAAGGGACTGATTCACTTTTCTACAGGTATGTAGAACAATCGATCTACATTAAAATAAGACGATAGTTTAGAGCTATTTACCTTAAATATAAAAAATTCGAAATTTGTTATTATTTTATTAAAATGTCAAATATATTCTTATTGCAGATAACTTATCAGGAAAAATGATCATAGATCTTAAAGAGGTAACAAAGAATGGTAAAACAGAATTATATGCGTCGAAAGCAAACACTTTTCTCGATGTAAAAGTATTCAAATTTGAACTTGGCGAGAGCGAGAGGGACTTGGCTCAACTAAATGAAGCTCTCAGCAATACTGTAAATGAGAATACCAAGGATATTATTAATATAGTTACGCCGGTATTAGAAAAGACGTTTTCTGAATTAATTATTAAAGTTATTAACAAGATGGTTTACCACAGAAAGGAGCAATTGTTTCCCAACACACTATAAATCATATAGAACTCTTGAGAATTTTTGCCGCAAAGTCGCATAATGCATCGCATAATGCATCAGATCCAAAAGAATAGTTGAAATACATTAGATATAATAAATATTTTAATTATTATAAGAATAACAATATTTAAAATATTGGCGATATATGTTTTATTTAAGTTAAATAATGAAAGCAAACCTCGTTTATTTAAAGATTGCTACAATAGTACAGGTATGTATGGAATAATAGTTAAATAAAAATGTTATTTGTCTCAATATTACTTTAAACACCACGCTTATTAGAATAAAATTATTAACTGTGTTGTTTGGTATGTAATAAATACGAAATTATCAAGAAATATTTAATAAGATTGTAATATTACATTTTGCTATTTTTGTAACTCAAATATTTAAAGCTAATAATCTCTTATTTAAGTTTTCGCAAATTTATAATTTATATTATTTATGTATTTGTAACGGAAAGGTATTGAAAATCATTTTCTATCTTTATATATTAAATACAAAATGTAAGCTTTTTACATTATTTAAATTAATACAATATATAAATACTAATATAAACTGATATAAAATATTATAAATAAAACTTTCCTGAATAAAAACTTTAATTTTTATTTTTTATTGGCTGTTTGTCAAACATGATTATTTAGATATTTTATAGATAGATATTTTCTCAGAGAATCTTGGAATATGATCGCAAAGTTAAAACGAATGACTAAAGAAAGGCGAAGGTCGAAATTGACGCAAATGGAAAAAAAATATTTGTTTTAAAAACCGGCCGATCCAGTATCCATCTGGATCTTTTATCCACTTCTGAATTCGATTCCTTTGTTAAATGAAAAATAGTTCCCCTCTACCTTTCCCACTTTACATTTGCTAAATGATCATGTGACTGTGTGCGCAAAGTATGCAGGCGAATGAGAGCGACTTTTGTTCCACGCATGTGCATTTGAATGAGAGTGAGGGTTGAGGGGAGATTTCAAAAAAGAAGAATTTTACAATATATATAAAACTCCGATTGATTCACGTGAAACTTGTTTTGCGGTAGATTCATTAACGTTATTCTCATATGGTTTTGGCGCTACTTTATAGAAAAATGTTTGTCGCACTGTCAGTTTTCGCACTCGTGGCAGTGCACGTTACAGCGGAACTACGTAAGTGAATGAAAGTTTTTGTTACATACTTTTTATCATAATGTACGTAGAATTTTTATTATATGACTCGTTAAAAATTTATTACACATCTGCGAAAAGTATAATAAAAATCGGATCGTCATTACGGCATATAATGTAATGTTACTTTTTATGTTAGATAATTTAGCTTTATAAATAAAAAAATTCTAATTGTAATTTACTACTGCCCATTGTACGACGATAACTTCGGATATAATAACAGTAGTATTATGCCCGTTTCTTTGTCTGTATCGTGAAGATTGCGATAACATAGTAGCGATACATACGTGGAAAAAAATTCAAATTAGATTAATTAGAAGAAGCTATGTTTGGAATTGTGGCCTTCGCGCATTGAAATAAGGTGATAGTGGCAATTATATAAAGACAAGAACTCAAGCATTTATCTGTAATTTGTAACAATCTTGTTTATCTTGAAAGATTTGGCTTCCTGCGAACGTAATATAGATGCATTTATTGCGCGTAATTTCAAAGGAGAACAAAGTATATTCTATTATATGAATTAAACTAAACAATAGAAGTATTGTATGTGATGGCATTAAAAAGTTTTTATTTTCTCATTTATTTTATTAATGACTATACAACGTATAAATTATTATTAAGTACACTATGATTTGATTAAGAGCCGTCATATTAAATCAGTCGAGATAATTCATGTTGAGACACTTTAAAAATATCTCGCACAAATAGATTTTTATTAATTATTAATATACTCTGAAAAGATAAATGCAACGTTAATAGAATTTTAATGTTGCAATGTAAATTGATGTTCTTGCTACATTTTGTTTGCGTCATATCACGAGCGGTTATCATTAAAGAAATTATGTATTTTACAGCTTAAATAATAAAAAAATTAAGCAAATATGTATAATAATTTAATTTGTCATAAATGATCTGATATTGATTTTGTTTGAAGGACGAAAGAAATGTGTTTGTATTAAATTTACATTAACGCATATTAAGTTTTTCTTCTTCGGACAGCTTGATAAGTGTTAAAAATTAATAATTATAGTAGTAATTCTATGAAAAAGCTAATTTGACATTGATTGATTTGCCGACGGTAATGTGAATGAAATTTATTTATTATTTCTCTTTAGTTGCAAGAATTCTTTTTTACTGCGTATTTTACATCTCTCGTTTGGAATTTGAACCCTTCAAGTTCACGAATAAAGATTCTATGACGTTTCTTATAAGTAATAATAGAGATGTATAATAGATTGAGAATTTAAATGTCATTTTAATTTATGATAATTGCTATAATCTACGCATCTGTATGTGACGATTTTTAAAATGTTTGCTCGGGAATAAATACCAATATTAGCTGAGTTTATGATAATCGATGGAGCAATTTCTATCCATACACACGCACACATGCATATGCATAATTATAGTTTCGAGTGCATAAATTCTCATTGCTATTGTTTAACTTTAATCGCTTAAATGACTTTGATATTATCATAATTCTAACAAAAATTATACGTTATATTTAAAATTACATTATATTAAAAATTTTAACAAAATTTATATAGCATTGGTTCTATTTTACGACAGCGACTGTATATTATAAATCTTGCGTAGCTTAATGATTAATATTAAAAATATACATACAATTGTGTAATAATACAAAATCTTTAAACATTATAAATTATATCAGATATGTAACGGATGTATAATGTTTGATCAAATATTATTATATTTAAATCACATCACACGGAAAGAACACTTTTGCTGAATCCAGATCTAAAAATAATTTTTGTTCAACAATCAAAATAATTTTGCGTAAAAGTCAAAATGATTGCTAGAATATCAAAACGTTTTATAGCAATGTTTATCAGTTTTACATTCCAACAAATTATTTTAATGATTTAATAAAAAATTATTTTCAGTTTTGTTTTCAGCAAAATTTTTAGATCTTTTAACACAAT